ATATATATATATATGTAAATATTCTATTTTGAGAATCGAGTTGCCTTTATGGCCATATTTTATAAGTTAAGTTGTTTTGTAATATTGCATTGCATTGAGTTATTCTGTTGGGTTAGGTTTCCGCTGAGTTAAGAAAGCCAGGCCAAGGGTTCGCTTGGGGCCAGAAATGGTCTCCGGGTGCCGGTCCCGCCCAGGGTGTAGGCTCGGGGCGTGACAACTCTAATCATATCCCACATTTTTTTTAAATTTAAGCCATTCACCATTTAAGAAATCATTGAAAGACTAAATCTTTCAACTAAAAATTTCCACTTTTAACCTAGCTGTTTGGTAATGATTTCTTCCCAGTGCATGTATTAAGTTATAGTTAGCCTGATCAGCTTTAATATATATGTGGATTTGTGTTGATTCTTTTTCAATTTGTTTGTGGCAATAATAGTTATCATCCATTGATCATTTTGGTGTCACAGTGAAAGAAATTTAATGGCACACCTAAATCATCGTTTAAATGGCATCGAGTATTGCTCAAAGTTAGAGGCCAGACTCTGGTAGGAGATCAAGTGGTAAAAATATCGACCTGCTAATAATAAGAAGAAATTTGTTGGGAGATAAATGACTACATGTATCTGCATGCTCACGGTATCCTGAAATTTTGAACGACTTTCGCACTTTCTTGTCTTTGACATGATAATGAACTTCTCCAAAACAGTTACATTCTGAAATTTTGAAAAAATTGTCATAACCATGTTTCAAATGATCCTTCAAACACATCTAGAAGAGTCGACGTTCTTGAGGTAGGGTCCCCCCTTTAATTTGGCCAAATAATTTGACTCAAATTGGCACCAGGAACCATCAAACTGGAGACAGAATATAATCAGGACCAACAAATATATATGAAGTTGTAAAATGATAAGTGCCTCTGCTCTGAACAAATTAAACATTTTCTTATGCAACTCCACTCATATCTAAATTAGGTGTAACATCTCGCAAATTGAAAGAAGTAGAAAGAGCTAGAATTAGAAAGAGTGATTTTTGGAAATAATAAAAATCTGGAAAAATTGGTTAAGTTAAGTTTGAGTTTTTGGTCAACTTCAAACAGACATAACTCCTAGATAAGGATGAGTTAGGTTTACTTCCAGGTATGGTTGGAAAGTTCTTGGAAAAATCTTTCCAACGCCTCCAAGTTTGCGCGATTCCAAGTTCGTATGAGTGAGATATCCCCTTTGGAACTTGGGATGTTCAAAAAAGGAAATGTCCAATCCGGATTTTTAAAGGGTGTTTTGGTCTTTTCCATACCCTATTATTTTAATTCGTTTTTGGTGAATTAATTA